CTATCTATCCGTCCATCCATCCATCCATCCATCCATCCATCCATCCATCCATCCATCCATCCATCCATCCATCCATCCATCCATCCATCCATCCATCCATCCATCTAGCCAGCCGCCTACGGTTTTTAGCTCTCGTGGACGTTTCGATAATGGTATCTATACCAAATCGGTATGCCATAACATGACTGTATGACGAGCATAACTGACTAGTTATAACATGAAAATCACGACATGTATGGCATTATTGTCATGATTTACATTTCATGGTCTTGCTGCTCTTGCGTTGGTTTCGTTCGCATGACATATTTAAAAACTGGTGTGGTATGTCTCCCCGCATGGCGAACATAAGTGACAGACCCTAACATGAAAATCATGACATGCATGTCACGTAAGGCAGGACTACACGCCATGCTCATAGCATGCTCGCGGCCGTTTCGCTAGCTTCACATATACCAAATTTGGTATCACGTGACATGAATAGACGACGGAGGTAAATGACACGTCCAAACATGATAATCATGACATGGAAGTGATATACGGCATAATTTTCGTCCACGTCATAACATTGTTCTGATTACAAAGTGACATATTGTCACGATGATTCAGAAGTACGGGGAAGGGGGGTATTATACCACCGAGTAGCTAGCTCGACGACGATGCGCCAGTCGCGGCTGGATCTCGAGCTGAGAAGAGGCACACGATCTTCTTTTTTACGCCAGATTGAGAGCCGCTCTTGCCGTCGACCCACTAAGTGCGGGTGGTATTATCCCCCCTTTCAAAAAGAAAAAGAAAAGGCAGATCCTACGTACAGTGAGAATCGATGATATGCGAAGCACGCTTCGTCAGCTATTCACGTCACGTGATACCAAATTTAGTATATGTGGAGCTAGCGAAACAGCCGCGAGCATGCTATGAGCGTGGTATGTTGTCATGTTCTTATATGACACACGTGTCAGGATTATCATGTTTGCACCAGTCATATGTTTCGTCATCCATTGACGTAACGTAACACCAAATTTGGTATATGCGGAGCTAGCAAAACGGCCGCGAGTGCATCATGAAGGGCCCAATATACTCCAATGTAGCGTTGACGCGCGCGCACGCTGGCACAGCGACGCTACGTTAGCAAAACGCGAACGCTCTATCTGATGCCAGGCGCGACCAGCGTCCGTCGGCGCGGCCCGACGGCAACCGGTCCGAAATGCGACATGCTGCATTTCGCGCCGATGCGTTACCCAGACAACACTGCGTCTCCCTCTTTTCGTGACGGAGGGACGCCGGACGCACTGAAACGCGCATGCGTCAAAGCAACGCAGCGCAGCGCGCGCCTGCGAGTATATATGCAGGACCGGTGACTGGCGTGGCAATCGCGCCGGCGTGACGCAATGAAATGAACGCCGGCGAGCACGCGCACCACATCACTCTAAATGTATTGGCGCCATGACGGTGGCATGTAGTCATGTTCTCACATGACACGCATATCATGATTATCATGTTTGCACCACTCACATACCTTCGTCATCCATTGGCGTCACGTAATATCAAATTTGGCACATGTGAAGCTAGCGGAATGGCCGCGAGTGCATCATCAGTGTGGCATGTAGCCATGTTGTTACATGAAATGCATGTCGTGATTATCATGTTTGGATGTGTCATTTACCGATGTCACCTGTTCGCGTCATGTAATAGCGAGTTTGGTACATGGGAAGCTAGCGAAATGGCCGCGAGCGCATCATGAGCGCAGCATGTAGTCAAGTTGTTACGTGACACGCATCTCATGTTTATCATGTTTGCACCAGTATCATACCTTCGTCATCTTCACGTCCCGTAATGCCAAATTTGGTATAAGTGAAGCTAGCGAAGTGGCCACCAGCGCATCATGAGCGCGCCATGTAGTCATGTTGTTACATAACACGGCATCTCATGATTATGATGTTTGAACCAGTCACATACCTTCGTCATCGATTCACGTACCAAAATACCAAATTTGGTATATGTGGCGCTAGCGAAACGGCAGCGAACACATCATGAGCCTGGCATGTAGTCATGTTGTTACATGATACGCATGTCATGATTTTCATGTTAAGGTGGCTTGTGTTCGCCATGCAATCATGCCATACCATACCAGTCTTGCAACATGACATGTGAAGGAAACCACCGCAAGAGCTGCAGGACCATGAGATGTAAATCATGACATTCATGACATACATGTCATGATTTTCATTTTATGACTAGTCAAATGTGTTCATACAGTCATGTTATGTCATACCAAGTTGGTATCGATACCATTACTGAACCGGACAGGAGAGCTAAAAGTCGTAGGCGGCTAGATAGATAGATAGATAGATAGATAGATAGATAGATAGATAGATAGATAGATAGATAGATAGATAGATAGATAGATAGATACTCTCAAAGTCGCCGAAGTTCGCTAAGAAATGCTTCGCATTAAAAAAAATTCCAAGGGAGGGAAAGAAGAGTACATAGCACTACCGCAATGCTACAGCATATGCACGTGAAAAAAAAAAGAAATAGGAAATTTAGATAAGGCGAAAGTAGAAGTTAAAGAGCGTGCCAATATAGGAAAAAGTCAATGAACGGAGAAGCAAGTTCACAAAAATAAATAAAAAGCACAAAGGGCCGTATACGGTAAAGAAAAAGTTACGAAGAACGCACAATAAATGGTTTCATGCGCAACACATGAACGACGTCCGGCCTCGGTCATGTCCTGCTCTGTGCCTGCGGTGTTGAGCCCGGAACCACTTCGTAGTTCACGTCACTTACGCGGCGTAACACTTTATATGGGCCAAAGTACCTGCTCTAAAGATACGGGCCAAAGGAACTTTTCACTAAGGCCATAGCGGCAGACTGGCGTCCACACCCAAACTTGGTCTCCGGGGTTGTAGACCACTTCTCTGTGGCGGGTGTTTTAGCGTCTTGCGTCTGCCTGCTGTTGCTGGCCGATGTGCAGTCACACGAGCTGCCGGGCTTCCCCACCACGCTCTGCGAATTCTCCGACGTCAGTTTCAAACTCGTCGTCGTTTTGACACGGTAGCATAGAGTCCAGCATGGTCTGCACTTCGCGGTCGTAGAGAAGCCGAAATGGCGTGAATCACGTGGTCTCTTGCATGGCGGTACGTGACGGTCACGTAAGGTAAGATCCGGTTCCCTGTTTTGTGCTACGTTGATTTACATTGCGATCATGTCTGCGAGGGTCTTATTCAGTCCGCTGGCTTGCGGGTAGTACGCAGTTGTTTTTCGGTGTCTGGTGTTGCTTAGTTTAAAACTACTTCGTCCATATCTGCGCCGTGAATGCTGTTCCTCTGTCCGTTATTATACTGGAAGGAGCACCGTGTCGTAACACGATGTGGCGCATGAAAAATTGTGCCACCTCAAAAGCCGTGGCTCGTGGCTCGTGGGATAGCCTGCGTCTCAGCGTAGCGTGTCAAATATAGTCGGTCGTGACGATCACCCATTTGTTGCTGTCCGCAGACAGGGGAAATGGCCCGCGAATGTCCATGCCGACTTGGTCGAACGGCGTGCAAGGTGACTCAATGGGCTGTAGCAAACCAGCTGGCTTGACAGATGTTGCTTTCGGCGCTGACATTCCCGACAGCCCTTGCGTACTTCTTGACGCTTGCCGAAATTCAGGGCCAATAGTACCTCTCGATCACTCTGGCAAATGTCCATGAGTAGCCCAGATGACCGGATGTGGGTTCGTCATGGCAAGCGAAGAGGGCGTCGTCTTGCATGTCTCGAGGAACCATCAGGAGGTAAGCACGGTAGTTCGAACGAGCTTTCTTCTTGTACAGCACACTGTCTCGCAGGCAGAACGACGTCAACGAGTGGGATAAATGACGTGGTATGATTGCGTCGTGGCCCTCTAAGTGATCAATGATTGGACGAATCTCGGCGTCGTCTCGCTGCCGTTTGCTCAAGTCTGATGAGCTAATGGCGCCCAGGAAACCTTCGTCTTCCTCTGCTGCCTGACTGACGACATGAAGGGGTGAGCGTGACAGTGTGTCAGCGTCTTCATGCTTACGGCCAAACTTATGAACGACGGTGACGTCAAGTTCCTGCAGCCGCAAGCTCCACCGTGCTAGTTGCCCTAAAGGGTCACGCAGGCTTACCAACCAGCAGAGGGTGTGGTGGTCCGTCCCTATATTGAAGGGACGACCATAAAAGTACGGGCGAAACTTGGTGATTGCCCCCGCGACTGCGAGGTACTCTTTCTCCGTAGTTAAATAATTCGCCTCGGCAAAGGCAAGCGCGACTGGCGCCCGGCAGACGGTGGTGTAAGCTGCTAAGAGAGGCAGTTTTTGATGTCGCGTGGTCGTTGGCCGTAACGGGGTGGCGGCGAGTACACAGAGAAGCCGCGAAGCCCAAGGCGGCGTTATGGGCACTGGCGGTACAAGTGATCAGCTTCTCCGCAGTGAAAGCACAGAGGCCGGCAATCAGGTGTGCGCGAAACATTCCTGAGACTACCCCGCACCTCTCCCAGTTTGTCACGAAGGTTCAGAAGTACCGGTGGGGGGGGGGGGGGGTTATTAAACCACCGAGTAGTTAGCTCCATGACGATGCGTCAGACGCGGCTGGCTCTCGAGAAGAGAAGAGGCACGCAATCTTTTTTCCTCCAGATTGAGAGCCGCTGTTGCCGTCACCCACTACGTTCGGGTGACAATATCAACCTCCCACATTCGTCCTTTGGATATAATTGATTCCGGCTCTACGAAGAATCTGCCATTTTTATTTATTTGTTGTTCGCTAGTGATATAGCCCGTACATATGCCGTCATACGTGTGACGACGTCCCTTGGTACTTCCTGCCTTTAGCAATGAGCAGCCTCGTTGAAATTGACTCATGTGTCTACTTACCAACGTTCCTTGGCCTATATGAATCCAAAAAACGAATTCGCATTGCAGAAAAAGACAGGTTATATGGCAACGCTTCGTTTAACCAAACCACCAACTTTCTTGCAATGAATGAAGACAATTGAACTCTGCCGTTTCATAACAACAGTTTATTTCCTTCGCATCGTGTCGTAGTGGACATGGCAAACCAGAACTAGGTTTGGAATGTTTTTGTACGTGTTTTGAGTGTTTTGATGCACCTTTAACGAGACAACAAGAGTCCGTTGCGAGGATGTTATGACGGCAGTCATGTCCCTAAATCGTGCGTTTTTTTCCTCTTCAATTTTCGAAGAGCATAACTTGATGCATTGAATGATTATTGGCTGTTTGTCATGTTAACTGTGTCTGATGCTAAGCGTTATGGAGAATACAGTTTTGCCAGAGGAAGCTAGCCCGGTCTGCAAAGCTAATCAGCGTCGTTTTTCTATCCTGTCCCTGTTGACCCTGCATGCGGTCGAAATAAATACAACAATACAAAGGAGAAAGAAACAAACTATGCTTTACTCGTCTATGTACATGAATTGGTATACGTGATTACGATCTCTAGTAGCAGAAGAAGAAACAAGACGGACTTGAATTCACATATTGACGGGGTGAAAAGTAAACACCTAGGCAGAAAAGAAGAAAAAAAAAATTTAACGTGATACGATTCGGTGCAGTATTCTTACTCGAAAAAGTTGGTGGGTGATGTCGCGCTCTCGCTACAGTAAACATAGTCAATCGTCGTACGAGAGTCGCTGTCGTTGACTTGACCTTGCCGAGAACGGCAGCCAGCTACTCAGACACATAAACAATCACTACACAACTCACAAACATGCACTTTCATTTCAATGAAACAGTCAGGAGGACGAACGGTTGTTCTGCTCGTGCTGAAAATAATGATAATGCAGACAGTGTAAGAAAAAAGATGCCCAAGGCAAAAAAAAAAAAACTCGTTTCTTTGCCAAGGAGAGCAAAACAAAACGCTCATTTCAGTTCTCAGTGGAAAATATGTTCTAGGAACTTCGTTACGTGACGGCTACTACATGCACAGGAAGCATGGCGCGCCGCAGTCATGCAGTTCAGCTATATGAAGCTTCTTCATCCGCTTGCTCGCGCATGGAGGCATTGACTAAGACGCAAGCTGAAAATAGAACGAAGGTGTGATTGTCGCACGAGCGCTACTACTTGACAGACGCTATATGCGCACTGGCCTAACATTTAACAGGCGCGCTCCATAGAACTCTCTGACGTCTCTTAGACCAAAATATGTGTTTCTTTGCTCTCACTATAGGGCGGGCCTTTTTGCTTCCGCAAAAGGCGTCGTGGCATATCACTTCAGCCGTGTGCCGGCCGCCGAGCTCGGCTCGTTATAACTGTGCATTATCAAAGGAACGCTTGTGTGGGCTATTCACTGTAAGCAGCAACACATGTGCAGCGAAATTATCAGTGAAATTTCGTAATGACGTTTTCTGTCACAACCGCGATAAAAGCAACAGATTTTCTGTCAGCACTGAAGGTTGCCGTTTCTCCCCGTCTGCAAGCCAAATATGCCAGAGTTGTTGGTAAAGCCGATCCAGTGCAGTGTTCGGCCCTCTCTGTGTGTTAACGGCTAAAAAGAGCACATGGTTCCATCACTGGACGCAGAATAATCCAGTCAAGGAGAAAACAGCGAAAAGGCATCAAGGCTATGGTATACGCGGAAGCTAGGTGTCTTCCCCCCAGAATGGTCCCATGAAGCACCGTGGCACGTTTTGCCATTTGTGGTTTGACGAACTGTTTTACCCTGCGCACAGTATGCTTAATGATGCAGATTGGCTTACCCAGCGGGTCTAAGCATTGTGTCCAAGAGAGGAGCAGGATAAAGCGCCCTTCCACTCCCATAGCTGACGATGGACACGAAAGAAAATAGTCTCTCACAACGTACACATACAGGGTGTATATACTGCTAAGCTGTTCGTTTAGCTTCTAATTCGTTATGAGCAAAGGTATTCTTTTTCGTCTAGCTCATGCTGGGTTATGAAGCAGACAGTGGTATACCTACTTCAACCCATTTCACTAGAAATACTGCAGTAACCTGTGAACTTGCAACAAATTTTCTTATTTTTTGTTTCATAGATTGCCCGCTGTGTTCTCTTCACGTGATGGCCCAAGTTTATCTAAAAATTAATTAAGCTTGTCCCAATAGCAGGCGTAATAGTGTCTGAAACAGCGACTAACAACTACAAGGGAAGCGCCAAGCGAATTTCTTCGGCTTTCCCGCCCGAGTTTTTTTTTCTTCCTAAGCTGAGAAAAAAACAAAAAAAAAGGAGAGAGATTGGGTAGGGATAGATAACAGGTGTAATAGATTTTGACCATCGTAGAAAAACAGCTAGAGAGAGAGAACGTTCCGAGCTCAGTTCAATGCCCAAACTGTCTTTCCAAGAAGGCGACACGACTAGTAGAGGCATTGATACTTCTCATCGGGAAGGTAATCATCAGATGCCGGGGAGGCGAGGACGGCTCACGGTAAAATTTCAAGGCTACGAGCAGCGCTGCTTTGTCAGCGATAGGCACCACCACTCAAAGACCTCGTTGCTCAAGCGACTACGCAAGTGAGTGACTAGGGAGGCTCCGCTCAAGACGCGACACTGCACCTTTGAAACTCTTGAAAGTGCAAACACAGCTGTGTACACATGTACATACTTCGATGCACACCACACTCGCAATTAGGCCTTAAACTTATCTCATTCACATTATAATATAAGACCAAACGCTGAAGAGTCACATTGTGAGCACTGGCACTTTACTAAGATAAGCTACGCTGCGCTTGACTGGTAAATTCGTTGAAATTTGCTCGTAAGTTTTTTTTTCTGTTAGAAGCCGTTCATCTCTCATTTAAGGAGAAAAAATGGAACTATTCTACGTTGCTTAAGCCGCGTGGCTGTAACTTGAGCTTGATTTCAAGTCCAGTTAGGTAATTCACAAATCTTCTCGTACTTCCCCGAAACAATGTTTCAGCTGAAACTGCGAACATATTGTAGCCCATGACGACAATGTGTGCGTTTTTAAACACTTTCAGGATCACAAAAAAAAAAGTCGGGAGCATACAGGCTTGGCGTCAGATGCTGATACAACCTTTTTTTTCGAAAAGGCACGACTCAGCTCAGCACGATCAGTTCACAAAGCCGCGCGTAACGTTAAGAAATTACTATAACAAAGCAGTCCTCCTACACGATGTGCCACAATGTGTACGAGTTGCTACTCACCATGTTCCAGTGCTTAGTGCTTACGCTAAAGCGATTACACTATACCGGAGATAAGAGCACTCGCCAGAGTTCACTCTTGTCATTCGGTGCTTGCGCACCCACCGTTACGGTGCCTTCAAGGCTATAATTATTCTGAATGAAAGCAAACTAACGACTAAGTCTAACATGGATTATTGTGTCTCTGATGTCGTCTCCGTTACGGGGGTGATACGATATACATGCGTGACGCAGGTCGCTATGTCTAAATACAAAGAGAACAAGAAAACGAATTCAATCTTGCTTTTCTATGTCACACTACCGGGACGTCACTGGCGGATTATAATTGGACGCTATGTATTTTAGGACGTGTAATCTACTGTTACCTAGAAACATTGTCACCAATACACTGGTGCAGGGATATTAAGAATAAACTGTGATGGTATGCTGTCTCAAAAGCTTTGGTTCTGACAGTACATGTATGCTACAAGGTAGCGAAACTTGAGGAGTTCAATTTATTTCTTGAAGTGGTGTTGGATTGTACGTGTTTGCAACAACAGCACTATTTGCTTTACGCCATGAAGTAACAACCACAAGTTTTCGGATCGCGACGTGTGCTCTACCCTGTAGAAGAGAACTTTCTTGACGTGTGGACATCTATCAATATATCGGGAAGGTAAACTATCGGTATCAGCCTTGCATCGCTCTCGCTGTAAGCCACAGCATAAGCTTTTACAAGCTAGGAAGTGTTTGTGAAGAAACAAGCGATAAATGCGTAATGCTCCGTTGTCTCACACATCTCAAATATCTCAGAAAAGACATGACAACTTATCGTTGCTATTAGAGGATTCGCTGAAGTTCCCACTGCCTAACCAGTCTTCGCGAAGATTACAGCGAAGCTATTTCTCTTGCAGTGTGATTACTGCATCTGTTTTTCCTGAGTGTCAAGGCCTCCTACTAAACAAGCATTCTGTTGAATTACGTTACTCAAAAAATCAAGCAGGCGATCCATATAGCACTGAGAAAGTCTGCATTACGTATTTTAGAGACGCTGCAGCTTCCTCACGGCCGTCAGTCATTTCTGTGCGGCATGGTTTTCCACCTGCTGTAAGCACACATTTGCGTATGCTCGTATGTACAAAGCTTAAAAGAAAGAACACAACTCTTCTTAAATGCATCTTCACCAGAGATCCCGCGTGTTCTCGTAAACTGAAAACACCAGCTATCATTACGAATCGCTAAATCACGTGTTGTTACAGGCTAAAAAAGATTTCAGCAATATGACACAGCACTAAATTACTTGTATAAAGTGTAACTTTTTGTCAATTTGACGTTTCGTTGGCCGCTACAATGAATTATGACAGCGGACAGCGAAAACGACTTTCGTAAAACTTTCTGGCAGGAGTCTTGTCTCACGTGATCCACGCAAAAGAATTATGAAAGCGAAATATCCGAAACGGCTAGAATGAATCCCACGTGTGGTAGCTATTCACACACCCAGGCTAAAACAGCTATATAGACAACGCACACGAAGTGTATACCAGTTCAATGTGCCGATGCTTCATACGACTGAAGCCACATCATCATCATCATGAACATCGTAGCTTGCCATGGGTGGTGTCTGTCGAATGCTCACTTTGTCACTGTATATGGTAAAACCGAGCACAGGTTGTCACGCACGGAGAGAAGCACTGTCATCATTTGCTATATCTCGCCCTTGGGCCACTTCAGCAAGACACCTTGTCCACCGGGGTGGCCTGTGGTGGCCACGGGTCACAGGAACATCAACAACTCCGTCCACATCACAGCCGCACATGCCTCGAGCCACCGCTATCAGAATCGTCGCTCTCTAAGTCAATGACTGTCTCTTCCCAGCGAGAAGTCGGAGCTAGTGGTTCTGTCGACGTTGTAGAGGGCGGGCCTTCTTCGTCGCCTCCTTCAGCGCCCTCTCCCTGCGATGGCACCTGCGCAAGCTCGAGCTCCGACGGGACGCCGGCGATATCCGGGGAAGCGCCGTCTTGGTCCTCCTCGGTCACCTCTTCCATCGGGGCGGCCGGCACGCCCGACGACTTGAGTTGGAACACCTCGAAAACATCCGGAGTTGAGCGCTTGTGGCGATCCAGCCGACCGAGAATCGTGGACGTGGGTGACTGGTAAGCGATGTATTCGCGATTGTCGATCCATGACGGGAACTCCCGCTGGCGGACGCCGCCGTCACCGCTGCCGCAGCGGGCGCGCACTCCCGCCGCGTCAGGAACGTCGTCGCGCTTCCAGGGGAGTGTGGTCTCGGTCTCCGTCAGAGCCTCTGCTGCTGGAGGAGGCGAATACGACCGCGGAGAGCCTGCGCAGAAATGACCGCGCACGCTTACTGCCGTGCTACATCAAAGGAACTTTTCACACTACGGAGTTTACAGAGCCGCATTTAATGTTTAACTTCTGTCGTTTCAGCAATAATATTATCAACTTGTTTGTCTACAACGCCACTGATCATTCTGCCGTGCAAGCCGCGAGAATGCGTGAAGATCGAGCAGCTCATATAATATACAGTGAAGGTTTCAGCTCGGGACTATGTGTCGAACTTAATAATAATAATAATAATAATAATAATAATAATAATAATAATAATAATAATAATAATAATAATAATAATAATAATAATAATAATAATAATAATAATAATAATAATAATAATAATAATAATAATAATAATAATAATAATAATAATAATAATAATAATAATAATAATAATAATAATAATAATAATAATAATAATAATAATAATAATATAGTAGGTGGGGTTTTATGTCTCAAAAGCACGATATGATTTTGACAGACGCCGTAGTGGAGGGCTCCGGAAAGTTTGACCATCTGGTGTTCTTTAACGTGCACTCGCGTCACACAGTACACAGGCCTTCACCATTTCGCCTCCATCGAATGCAATGACCATGAATCGCTCCCGCAAACTTCGGGTCAGCAGCGGAGCACCTTAACCACTGCTCCACCACGGCGGACGTTTTTCAGCAATTGAAAGCTCAATTGTTTCGTGGATTGCATGCCTCGCTTATATATATTCTACTTGTGCGATTTGAAATACCCAGAAACGTAGTGATAAGCGATCATCGTTACGTTCCCTGTCGAACAGGGAACGCCACCGGAGCTAGCGTTTTGTCAACTGGACTTCTCTAGGTCAAGGCAGCAGCTAGTTCAATACAGTAGCGCTCATAGTACAGCACAGATGAGCGTCGCGTGGACAGGTCAAGCAAATGTGCAGTACTACATATGAATACAAACAACACGCTGCATGCAGTCTCGCTGCCTATAGTCATCACCTATTAACTGACTCTGATAGCAGCCTGGAATTGCCTATAAAAGATGTAGGACAGTAAATTGTCGTCAAAGGATGAGAAATATGCAAAGCAAAGCTACAAATAAACAGAAAAATAGGCGCTATGAGAACCAAATTGCTTCTTATGTGCATGAAGTAAATACGTTCACTGCAATGTTGAAGGAGCTGACATGCACATCGTGGCAGCAGCTGATGATAATCTTTTGCAAGTGCCGGAATTTGACTGATGAACTCGCGCACGAAAATATTTTTATTGCATTTACATTTATGCATTTACATTTACAAGAGGTAAAACCATCAGGAGTGAGTGAGTGAGTGAGTCAAACAACTTTATTAGGCTCACAATAGGCATGGGTTAACTCGACGTCACCTGGCTAGGCCCACTCGCGGACGGTCAGGTTAAACCTGGCCGCTCTTGGGACAATTACTTCATTGAAGTCTAATACAACCAAGTCTTTTTACCCAGAATAAGACATAAAACAGTTAATCTACATTTACAGAAGCTTCTACATTAAAAACAACAAAAAATAAAGTGCTCGACCACTTGCCCCAGCAGATGACCCAGTAAGCGTGGCTCCTTGAGAAGGCCTTAGAGATTATGATGCTTCTGCAGTTGTGAGCTGTACGCTAAAAAATCCAGGAGTAAACATGCCGGCTCTTTCGCCAAATACGTCCAACACATGTACGCATCATTTGCTTAGCGCCATGTAAAAAATTGATAGTTGTCACTCTAGACATTCAAGATAGCTACTATTCATTTGCATTCAATCAATGCAGCCTAATCGAAAGTTTGTTGCAGTTCGCCTTAATGAGATGTGTTTGTTGGAAGAGAGAAATGCACTCTGCTCCCCTAATATATTTCGTCTCGGTGATATTGTGACATGCTCGTGTCTTATGTGACATGAGCGAAGTACCACAGTAACAAAACAAGAGGTTTACAGCAAGAGAATCACTTGACCAGATTGCCAGGCTAACGCTAGCGCTAACCTGCATTTCTACTATCTCCATTTCAGAAGCCACGTCGTTTATATAAGTCCGTCGCATGAGAGTGCTAGAACGAAATGCAACGGACTATCTCGCCCAGCGTTTACATTTGTCATAAAGATACTAGTTTGATGAACTGACCTTTGAGAGCCGTTTCGTCTCTCGGACGGGCCACAAAGACGATGCCTTCATCGTCCCCGGCTTGCTGCAGTCTCGAGTTTACCTCAGGTTTCGTCGTCCCATTGCCCGGCGCCGTAACCTTGTGGCAGTCCACGTTAAGCGAACAGTCACCGTTCATCGGAAGACTGAAGCGTAGCTGTGGTTTATCTGAAATAGAACAATCGTTATAAGGATGGTTATGCTGAATGTTTGCTGAACGGATTACTCCGAGATCGATGTAGGCAGACTGCTCAACTTGGCATGAATGTATAAATTTCTTACACAAACGAGACAAGGTTTACATTCACAGTTCTATCTACGTGAACGCCAGCAAGAAGAAAAATGTCCTACTTCTTTTTTATTGTATAAAAACCATATCACTATTTTTTTGCTTTTGACTTCCGCTATTTTTTTTAAATTCACATTCTGAAACTTCGGACCATCTTCGTTAACATACATCATTCGTCAGCCAGACCAAACCTACATCCTGTGTATAGGCTTATCACTTTCTAACTATGTGCTCGTAAATTATCGGATGGTAAATTAAATATTCCGACCTGCCAAAAACACGCTCTTCAGTCATGCTTAGCACTTATGAGTGTGCTAATTTGCTGCGTAATGTATAAATAGACCTCTCATGCGGTCAGCTCTTTCTATTCAGCTGTTTGATCACAGTAGGAGAGCCTGGCAGTTGATCACGGAAAAGCTGCATTTTTGTCAACCCTGGCGTTGAACCCCACCCCCTGTCTTCCCCAACGCCGGCCTCTCTCTCACCATCTTGACGATGTAAAGCATGTGACGTCTTTTCCAATTACTGTGATTGATATTGCTGTTATACAAGTAGGTACTCATTTTAGCGATACGTTATTCAATATAAATAACTAGAAAATTGATAACATGTGGGGGCGCTGTCAGGAAGCCGAACGTGACTGAGGCATTATTCAATGTTCCATTGTGGCACCCTGCGTCAAAAGCTGACACTTGTCACTCAACTCTACGTGTGTTTAGAGGTGGCAGTTTGATACTAAGCGACATATACATTGAGGTTGTGCGGTGTTAGGAGCGTGCTGGTCTGTATCTGTATCTCAAAGGCCGCTCACAGTATCTGGGGCCGAAACAACAATATGATCATGAGACACGCCGTACAGTGGGATTTGAAAATTTCGACCATCAGGTGTTCTTGAACGTGCACTGACATGGCACAATACACGGGTCTCTATACCAAGGACTCCCAGAAAACGACACCAGTTGCCCACTAAAACTTCTCGCAATGGCCTGCAAATGTCGTCTTTTGGGAGTCGAACCACGTACCTCCATTGGGAATCTTGCGAGGCTCGCGCGCGTGTCGGCAAGTGAGCGGAGCTCCGTCGTTGCCATCGTGGCGCGGCAGGCGGCCATTGCGGGCCTTGCGCATGCGTCGTCTCTCCTCTCCCAAGAAGGTGCGGATTTGCATGCGCATGTGGTGGTGGAAGGGCGGGTGGTCCTCAGTTCCGTCCACACGGTCCCGATACAGCCGCTTGACCTGCGAACGCCGCGAGCATGAGATTCCGCACTCGCACCACCTAGCCATGCCTGTGGTATAGGCAAACGGCATGTGAGGCAATGTTCCGCACGGCACACATCGACCACAGGTCCGAGGTCTCATCAACCGGGCGGCGGCGGAATCGGAGTCGGGCTCTTCCAGGGAGCGCATGCATTCGTTCAACGAGATGACCCAGTCATATCGCGCCGAACGCCAGCTATACCCACCACCCCACCGATCCCTCAAAAATTTTCACCAAATATTATGGCGTCGCCTTCAGACCCGCACCCTTCCCTCCCCCTATTTTCTTTCCCGCATTTACCCGGGAGCGTACGCCCCGTCCTGCGCTCAATGCACTCACCCCCACGCTACCCTTACCCACATTCTCATGGAATGCCCGGCGGACCCTCCCCCGCGGGGCCCGGTGCCACTGACCACATGGGAGGAATGGGAGACCTTGCTGCGCTCGACGGACCCGGCCAAGCAGAAAATCGCCACTGACCGGGCCGCCCACGTCATGGAACTGCATGAACTCATGAACGCATAGCGCAGCGGGGTCGTGCGGGGACCCTGGGACGTAAGTGCCCAAATCCCTTGGTGCCCAAACCTCCTCCTCGACCACAGTTTACGTGAGTGACGAACACATTCGACATGAGCCGCCAAGTACCGCAGAGGATCACGGTAGCAACATTTGCTATACGGTCGTCGTGACTGCGCGTAAAGGCGATTGTTATACAGTTCCAGCACGATCAGCGACGTTCCCATTTACCTGTGAAGAATCCGCTCAAGTGATTTCGGAAGGTTTAGTACGAACCAGTCTCAGAGCATCAGATCACCAAGCCAGTAAAATCGGCGTAGTCATAATACTGTACAATTTATAATTGTCAGGAAAAACAAATTAAATGTTGCATGTACAACCACCATTCAAACCATAAAAAAACTAATTGCAATGATGAGATGAATTTTGGGAATGCTGTATGGGGAAAGCGACGTTACTTGTATACCTTCAGCTCGTGCGTAGATGTATAACGATTCCTAGAAGTTCCAGCTAGAAGCTTTTACGAAGCGCTCATGTTTTTCATCGCGTCTGCTACACCTGCTCAAAAATGTTCCCGGCTGACACGTAGGTCGTATTTACGAGCCTTCAATTAATAATTTTGTGTCGCTGCCCAGGGTTCATGTTGACATAACCATGTCGCGTAGCATTTTAGAAAATATGAAACGTTTTACCGAACCCTTAATTGCTCCTGTTGCAGCACAGTACATGACGGGCACGTGAAATAAAAAAAAAGACTTCAGGTGTACATCCTAGTATATGACTACAAGTATACGCAACTGTAAGTGCTGTTTAAATGCTTGCGAGAGTACATGACTGCTTGAAAGGTGTAGCCCCCATTTTTTTAAGTTTTCATCATGCATCATGTTAAGATAAATTTTTGGCTCAGGATAGACAATTCGGCCGTATGTCGGCCTGAATAACAGTTGCCTCTTCCCATTTCTTTCCTTTGTGCGGTGTTGGGGTACATGCAATATTTTAGCAGTTGAATTCACTCACTTACTCACTCACTCACTCACTCACTCACTGACTAATTATTTGCCATATTTGCTCACAAATATAAAGGTACTAAAAAGAGAGCCCTGAGAGAAGTATCACGCTCAAATGTTTTTACATAGAGTTGATTTCGAGGCCGGCGTGAATGTCTACCGACAGGCGGGGAAGTCTGTCAATTTCACTCGTGATTTGAAACGCATACTTTCTCAGGATCAACATGACTATATAAAATGTTGATCGATCTTTAAATAAACAGGCGTACTTTGAACGTTCACAACTTCCTTTTGTGTTTCGACGAATTCTACTTGAGCTCAGACAGGTTTCGTTTAATCAGTAAAAGAAAGCATCAGGAAGAGACATTATTTGTCCCCGATAATTCATGTCCGAATCAGTGTGGATTAGAATAGTGCGTTTTTCGAGCCGGAAATTTTCCTCCATTTGAGATGCAATCATTTTCAAGTGATCTCCCCGGTGTTGCCGAAAAACGAGCTCAAAACTGATCTTTAGAGCCTAGCAGCTTTTAGTTTTACAATACATATATAAAACATGCTTTGGTCACATATTCAGATAAAAGCATTGCCAATACAGGTATCAATTAAAATAAATTTCTGAAAAGTTGCTTTGCGGCCTCAGCTTGTAGCAACGTCCGACGGCTGGCACTCACCTTCCTAGATGGCTTGAACATTGAGTCCGACAGTATGTGGTGCAGCTGGGCGTCTGCGTAGTCTTTGCTGCTGGGCGAATACTGCAGTTCGTTCATGTCGAAGTTGAGCACGGTGGCCGACCGGTCAACCGGGAGGTCGAGCTCGCGCAACGTGTCACCGCTGGCCGACGCGGCGCCCTTGCTCAGGTTGGTCTGTGTGTAGCTTCGGAAGAGTGAAGCTAATGACACGCCATTTTCACCATTCATGACAGGCACCAGGCTGTTGTTGTTCTTCAGCAAGTTCATTGCGTCGGCAAGGTTCAGCTTGGAGTACGTTTCGATGATCTTAGGTTCACGTATGCTGTGGTCCTTGAGCAGCATCGGCCTCAGAAAACGATTGTTGTAGTACTTGAATCTGCGCGACAGCCAACATGCGCTGTGAGCCAACAGGCCAATCGACACTGCACATTGAGATCGCGCTGCTCTGCGCACAACAGGCCACTACCCGCAAGCATAAAAACACCAGAAATACTTCTTCAAAGCAGATGGAACGACACCGTGAAGAGTTCTCGCAATGGTTTAGTTATGTATAAAATACATTGAATTGGTTTCGCCGTTAAATATCAAGCAAAAGTGCAAACGATTACAAGAAACAATTAAAAACAAATGGGGAAGAAGGCCCCATTTATTTATTTTAAAGGTGGTGCCCATTTATAGATATGGTATCTTACTATACATTCAAGATTACGGGTGGTTTGTAGAGCGTAGTTTTTTTGACGACTTTAGGATTGCGACACAATGGCTTGCTGGGTGTCAATACATGGTTCGGTGGTTTTCTGTTGCCGCTACCATCGCTGCTAAATTTATCAGCAACAATTCCTGCTTCCGTGCACAAAATATAGCACGCATTATGAAGTTGGGCTAGTCCGCACGAAACCTCGTAAATATCAGAATTCAAGAACAATACAAGCTATTGGCTACAGCGTGAACGGTCATTACGAATGCTTATAAGCATGAACACAACGTGTGCGTAACCAATACATTTTATAATGTGCTGGCTAGTGAGCCCTACTTACTTGTCTCGTATTTTGTAGTTGCCCATGAACTGCCCCGTCACATCTTCTAGGCCAGCCATTAAGTGGTCCATTAACTGCAACACGAAAGTAGTACAGCTTTTGTTACCACACATAACTGAAGGCTCAGTAGCTATACCGTGCCAGTCAATATATAAAGAAGTAGCGTGCGATGCTTACTCTTGTGTGGAGCCTTTCGTTCATAGACATCTGTCCCTTGACACTTCGTGGCACATTGAGCAGGCGCACTAGAGGTCCAATTGTCATCCCCTACAAGAAGAAGAAAACTCGTTTTACCTTTGGTCTAGAGCAGTTTTTCCTCATTATTATGAAGACAGCATAGTTGCGTAATGCGCAAACACTAAAATAGATGAATTTGACTTCAGTAAACTCTATAAGGTAAGAGCTAGTTAAGAACATGTCACCGTTCTGTGTGAGGTAATGCAATATGTTCTTTTCAGGGCTCGTGTATGATTGTTATAAGTGACTTCGCCCTTCTCCACTTGGCACCGGGTCGTGGCAATGTGGACTCTGCCAGAGGTGCCTCACCTGTACGAACACGGTGAAGTAAATGACTGCTATGGTGGTCGTCACAAGCATCTTCTTTGTCGGTATGACGTCCTCGTTGACGACCAGCACTAGGGCAAAGGCCACGGCTCCCCGTAGCCCTCCGTACGCCATGATGAACTGATCCACCTTGTTGAGTGTATGTACGCGGAACCGGTTGATTGGCCACGTCAGCAGAATCACTCCTGCACAAAGGACAATAGGTCGCGTCGTCGGGGACGTCTTTGCACAATTTATGGAATGGCAGTAAGAGCAGCGCGAAAGGTGAAAATGCACGTTACAAAACGGGAATATATAAGCCTAACTGTGTCATATTATTGTTCTTGCAGTTGTCTCATTTGCAGCTATTTTGCAATTAGGCGCAACGTACGTACAAAAATCAGACGTCTTGTCATGTTCACCTCTGGTCTGGTTAGGCGTGTATTAGCGAAAAACTGTAAAGTTGCTTGGTTGAAATGGTGCACCTGTTGTAGCTAAGAAAATACTGAGCGTCACGAAATATTTCATGGCTGAACTGTTTACCGACGATGCCGGATACATATTAACCTAGTCACCGACGGCATGCTTGCTCGAGAAAAGAAACACGCAGTGCTTCACTACCACTTGTTCGCACTGATTCACGCTCTAGTTGACACGAGCGTACACTGAAATCCAAAATAAGCTGGGTGTCAATGCACGCACCTATGCAAACGAAGAAACAGTTCGCGGTTAGTGGAGCTGGATTCTTCACAAGCCTTTCATTCCATTCAAATTTTAACAGCGCAAGAAATACTTCGGAGACAGTGCTCTGGATACGACTACGAGAATATGTTAAAATGAAGTAAATGTACTGTAGATTGAAGCCGAAAACAGGCACCCTGAATTTGTCATTGGCTTCCTTAGATCGAAGAAAAAAGTTTTTCCTTGACGGCCTTTCACGGTCGTCCCAAGCAAACATTGCTCTCCAAGTTCAGCGTCATCATGCTTTTCTTGTCTTACAAGTGTCATCGTAAAGAGTGGTTCTACGTTCCTAAGCGCTACCATTATAGGCGCTTGTGTGTTTCGCTGGGGGTGGCTTAATTAGATTCACCGAGGGATTTGACAGCACCCCCCTTCCCTAAAAAAGAACAAATAGAAATGATTTTAATAAATTGATTTGATTTGTGAGGTTTAACGTCCCAAAACCAACATATGATTATGAGAGACGCCGTACTGGAGGGCTCCGGAAATTTCGACCACCTGGAGTTCATTAACCCAAATCTGAGTACACGGGCCTACGACATTTCCGCCTCCATCGGAAATGCAGCCGCCGCAGCCGGGATTTAAACCCGCGACCTGCGGGTCAGCAGCCGAGTACCTTAGCCACTAGACCACCGCGGCGGGGCATGATTTTAATAAAGAATGACCATTTGGCTGTAAAAAAAAAAGGTCTCCTTAGTAAAAGGTTTATTTAGGTGGTTTTACCTTGGTCCAAACCTTCTTTTTTTTTTAAAGTTGCGTGAACTTCTGAGCTCATTCTCAACGCTGTACTAGATTTTTTTTATTCCCTCTGCTAGATTTTTTTTTATTTTCTCTGCACTGCAATTCGTGTCTCATAGCTTGAGTTGCTGGATAGGTTAAGTCCCATGCCATCGTTGAATTTCCCCGCCCAGGAATTGAACCAATCGACAACTGAAGTTTCTTTCATTAATGTTTCGGTGAAGAGGAATAGTGCCACCATATTGACTTTTAATTTCTTCTTTGTTATTTGCATTAATGTACTATACCGTCATATCCTAGCCAGTTTTGTCGATAGCAATGGAAAAAAAAATGTGGTCGTCCGTTTGACATTATTTCCTTTGTGCGCTGGTCGTTAAGAATTTTCGGAGCCCATGTTGCATACAGTTCGCAATATCTATATATATAGTTTAGTTATTAGTGGAGCGTACAACGGAAGAAAATCCGTCAGTAAGAACACCTATCGTCAGTCGTCGATCGAGTCACAGTACTTTCTTCCCTTATTCAATGATTTCAGCAATGTGGATTCTGGGCTTGCCGCAGCTCTTTTCTTTATGCACGTTTCTGCTGCCATTCTTTGAAGCTGCGAGATCAGCGGGTAACATGCACTTCGTTCGTTCGCTGTGAGTCTGAAAACCAGATTTTCGGCTGCTGATGGTTATTTCGCGCACAAAAAGTGGAACTACAGCACGCACTTAGCAACTGGCGGGAGTGACAAATTACTCGTCGTCTGAATTAACTGAAAGGCGAACAACTATGGTATCCGTACAATAACATTACTGCATGCTAAAGCAAGTAGCACGTATCCCTGCGCGCGTATAATTTATTTCTGATCTTTCAGAAGTTAGATATATTCAAACGGCCCTTACTTCCAGAACACTTCCCGTATTTCAGCTTGCAACGATGTGACAGTCTGAAGCACTTTGCTTATATTAATTGGCTTGTGTCAGCGATGTTGTTCACTTTATTCATGAGTATATATATGCCCAGAAAAGGAAAAAAGTAAAATAAAAAACGAAGAAGAAAACACCGAGAGGTTGAGATAATAACTTACGATTATTTTTAAAAAACTTCACGAACAATTTCGTGAAGTGCTAGAATGTCGACAAGCACTGGAGGAAGTGTCTTACCTACAGATCGAAAGACGGTGATGAAGACTATGGTGAGGATGACGAACCATGTGTTCCATCTGTGGATGTCGTTCACCGTCGATACACCGAGGAACATGAATATGATCGTCTCCGAGCAGTTGGCTAACATCTTCATTCCATATTTTAGTGTGGTGTGAGACTTCTGAGAAATGTTTTCCTCGACGTAGTTTTTCATTGTCAGGCCACAGAAGGTCAACCTGCGCAAAATGAATTGAAGTCACAGTCGAGAGATTCGGGTTTTTTTTATAGCCTTGTTGAGCATTTTAGAATCTGGAAGCTTGATGCAGTCTAACGACACATGCTTGATTATGCGGCTACGTTGTAAACTTTCGTTCTTATTGTTTGGCACTCCAGGAAAAAGACGACCTGGTATCTCAAATTTGACCAGCCGGTGCACATTCTATAGAAATCACATTTGCAGTGGCACTAGACGTTTGATGCAACAAATAATAAAGCACGTTCTTGTTAACACACCGTTTCATGGCGTTCCTAATATATGCAGATGCTAAGCAGACGCCTTTCGCAGGATGGAACCAAAGGCAGGAATCGAACATTAGCGCGGTGTTTGGGCATTTCCTTTTGTCTAGTGCATTGTTTTCTTGCCCGATGTTGGTAGCAAGGCGCTTGAACTGCGAAGCACAACGTGCACGCATGAATGCTAAGCACAATAACTTCCGCTGATTATCTGCACCGTCTAAATAACGCAAGCCTAGGTACACGAGGCAGGGGCTAAGGGAGGCGTGGAATGATGACTCACGCGAGAATTCCTGACAGGTGGAACAGCTCGGCGCTGAGGTAGGACAGGTAGCCCAGGATGAAGACGAACAGGGGCTCGATGGCGCGCACGTGGTGCGTGAAGCGCGACACGAAGGCAGCCACCAGGCCCCAGAGGATGCCGACGGCCGTGCCACCCAGCGCCACCACGAAGAAGGAGGCCACGCCATACACGTAGTCAGTCGGTATTATGTTCTCCGTGCCCATGTCCGTGTAGCCCTCGAACATGCGGTACAGCACCTGCGCACATACGGCCCTTAATTTATCGTTTTGTGCCCATACCCGTGGAAATGGTGGCACGGTGACACACTGGCTGACCCATGAACGTCGGGTTTATATACACGGCCACGGATGACTTGTGGCCACAGGTGAAGAGGATTGCGTGCATGTTATGTGCCAACGAAGCTGGTACTTGACCGTATTTCACTGCACTGTTTTATCGCGCGATAACGTAAAACCACCAAAACGTAAATCTGCAGAGATGACACCAGCTCATCGGATGTTGAATTGGTTGCGCACATGTCATGTCGTGCAATTCCCATAATTAATATTTAGGTACGAATTTCGCTCAGGCGGCTTCATGGCTACGACAAAATTTTCTGCATGCTGAAAATATGTTACGCCTTATAAATAAATAATTTCTCCTCCTCTGTTTTGGGGAAATTCCCCTCTGTTTTGTTCACCTGTTTTGGGGAAATACGAAGAGCCCCAGACTCACAAGAATGCAGTGCTCACAGAACGAGGCGATTCCCATGATTACCATTATGATTTCGACTCACATACCAAGCCCGTTAAGTGAAACATGAAAATGTTGGTCACAACGGAATAATGTCTCACTATTTATTGCTTCTAATAAGAACCAGGGATGTAGCCAGAAATTTTTTCGGGGGTGTTCAACTATACTTTATGTATGTTCGTGTGTGAGTGTGTGCATGTGCATGTATATATAAGCAAAAAAACTTGAAAAATTAAGGGGGGGTTGACCCTCTCGTCTACGGCCCTAATATGAACGTCACGGAACGAGTAAGGTATACAAGTAAAATTTATAGAACCCTGTAGATACAAAAAAACAATTTGATTCCTTTTGTTTCTGAAAAAAAAAATCTGTTGTACGCATGCTGTCTACATACTACATGAAAAAGGATAGATTAATTGCACCTTATGTCCACAAAGAACCTCGTGGCTTGTAGAGGTGAAGTATAATGGAGGATAACGAACCAGTTTTGGTGATTTATGGTTTTTAAACGTGCACCAAACTATAAGTACATGAACGCGAGCCGAACCCGTGACGGATTACTGATGAGCAGATCGTGATAGCCACTGAGCCATTGCTGCTGTTCAATGCTCTGGAGAGAGAAAGAGGGGGGGAAGGAAAGGTACAAGAGTTGAGTAGACTTTGTCTGGCATGGTACCTTAAAATTCTACATTAAATACCTATACAATATATTCTAAATGTAAATTGGAGGTGAAATTCGAAGTTCTCATTCAGGTTATTCCACTGCTTAGTGTGTGTGTGAATTTGCCGAACCAGGGATTGTCCGACTGATCGTTGTTTTGTAGGCAGTTAGCCGTTGCCGCAGAGGGCGTTCAAGCCGTCGGTAAGGGACAATACTAGCATGCGCAAACGACTTTACCACTGACTTGTTATAACTTGTGTCGAATACAGGATCTCTCTGTCTCTCTGTTCGTTACATTATATCCCTGTCTCGCCCACTATCCTTTACCCGCACACAGTAACGAACTGGACATTACATTTCGGTTGACCTCACGTCCCTAGCTCCCTCCATAATTTCTTATTTCTGGTTATATCAGTGACAACTATTTCAGAATGAAAGCTATGAGTACACAAAAATGAAACCAATTCAATTAGGAATGCAGTCATTCAGTTCATAAACTAACAGTTCCAACTTATACGAGGAGAGTTGTTGCGGTACGTATAAGCAATCCTTAAACGTGCATTTACAGTCAGGTAGGTCAACAACAACACTTGCCGCATCTCTTTCATTGAGAAGAAGACAGGTAAGAGAGCTTTTCGGGATATTTATCACTACGTGGCTAGAATGTGCAGCTCTCACTGACCACTGTGACGGCGTCGTTGAGCAGGCTTTCACCGAAGACGAGAATGTAGAGGACGTCGTTGACGTGGATCTCCTCGAAGACGGCCAGCACGGCTACCGGGTCCACGGCCGAGATGATGGAACTGAAAAGTAGTGCGTCCAGAAGGGGCACAGACGTGCCGTACAGGCCAGTCAGGCCCACCGCCCACAAGCAGAGGCCGATGGTAAGCGCATTCCACACAGTCCCCAGCACGGCGTACGTCATGATCGACCCCAAGTTGTCAAAGAAAGAACGGTTGGGCATGTAGTAGCCTGCGTCCAGCACGATGGGCGGCAACATGAACAGGAAGAACACGTCCGGCGTTAGCGGCCCCACTGACGTCAGGCCCGTGTAGAAGAGCAGCAGCCCAATCACCACACCGATCACGATGAGAATGCAGCTCTCGGGGCAGATCAGGTGCAACTTTGGAGTCACATGGAAACCTGCAACGAAAGAAACAGCACCAAGCATGTCAGGGTTGCTCTCAGGGTATACACCGTCAGAGGCTGGGCTCGGCGGACCTGGTAGTTCCCTTCACCATTCAATGCTGAATTTCTCGAAATTTCGTGCACATCGGTCCTCAGCGTGCTATTGTACATGTTACATGCATTCATTTTCCTATATAGTATATGTGCTCACGCATTCCATATTGCGGGTTACGTCTTCTAACTTACACTCCAAGATGAATAAAGACGCTTAATCTTCTTAGTGTTTTGACCAGTCACTTGCATGATTCTTTAAAGGTACACATCAGTTCTCTTTGTAAATCATCTTGCACTAGCGTCCGAGTGAAGTGGGAGGGGCGACTCTTCAATATAAATTTAGCGGGTATCTTTAATGTGATAAGTCAGAACTCAAATAAAGTCGTAACAGGTACTCTACTTTTATTTTTTATGAATGTTGAACAAAACATAGTTTGCGTAAGCAGGTGCCATCGTACGGCCCCACCGCGGTGGTCTTGTGACTAAGGTACTCGGCTGCTGACCTGCAGGTCGCGGGATTGAATCCCGGCTGCGGCGGCTGCATTTTCGATGGAGGCGGAAATGTTGTAGGCCCGTGTACTCATATTTAGGTGCACGTTAGAGAACCCCAGGTGGTCGAAATTTCCGGAGCCCTCCACTACGGCGTCTCTCATAATCAAATGGTGGTTTTGGGACGTTAAGCCCCACATATCAATCAATCAATCAATCAATCAATCGCACAGATGCTTCACTGTCGATTTCTTCTATGTTTTTTAACGCACCGTTTGCATCACTGAATAAATGAAACGCATGCTATAGCGTCTTCCCAATATAATCTGAAAGACCCCACATATTTCACAGGTGCTTTATGCTATACAGTAAAGCCTCACATTGTATTCGCTGTTAAGGAAGACTTCTTGCTGAACGAGTCAGTTGACAAGAAAGAGAGAAATATTAGCGACAAATATGAAATAAAGACTCGAGAAAGAAGCAGTATGAAGCAGAGAGGTTGGGTGCTAAACCTTTCTGTTTAGCACCCGACCTTATAGTTGCTGTTACCCGTCACAGAGACATTGCAGCCATTGGCGCTAACACGTGCTTCCCCCAGTAAGGCTGAAAACAGCACTGTACTTCCTTATTCATCAGGAACCAGCATATCACAAGCAGCATTACATGTAAACGCTCGTATATTAGCATTGATTGTTGCAATAAAAGTCATGCAACAACCCTTGTATAGGGCGGAAAAGTAGGCCTTAAAGAGCATCTAATCTAAAAGTGACTTTGCAAACGTTGAGTGAGAATTACAATAACCTTTACATTGAATAACATTGTTTCACTGCAAATTTATTACTTCTCAGCTTTCTTGTTTCCTGAAAAGCAGGGATGATCCTTTTGCTTCCCTGTGAGCACGCTATAAGTTTGGGGTTAATCCGGTCGAGCACTTTGAAATACGGGGTCACGATGGTTAGCTGTCCAACCAGTTATCAGTGCACTGTGGTGATCGCACTCGTACGTAGCGGGTTCTATGGTCTTGGTGAGCCTACTCCCGACGACTATAAAAATGAAACGCGGTCAAGCCCGAGAGGTGGCGCGGCTCAAGGGGCCCTTCGCGCAGGACGCCATCACTATGACCCGCACGGCATGGAATGAGCTCGGTACCGGCGGAGTCTCCAAGGCGCCGTTTTCTGAGTGTCGAAAGAAACACGGAAGTACGACAACGTTTACAAATTCACCGGGCCGATAAGAACAGGCTCCGATTGCTAGTGTGCCATGTGTCGTACACTCGCAACACGCTATCAATATGCGCTTGTCGACTTCTTTTCTCCCCCTCCGGAGATATTATAGCCTATAGGACATTCAAGAAGCATGTTTTCGTGTTACGCCATCATCGCAGATAGGCACACAAATGGAAAGACGAGGCGGGTAAACTTTTGAATTTTAAGTACACGATAGCATGCATGCCGACGTCCTCATACCATAAATACATAAGTTGTGGCTCATTGTTTGAGACAGCACAGTCAGGACTCTCGAAATCGCTGCTCATTTGCTTAATCAGTCACAGAGACTCCGAACATCCATATCCTGCGGACTAGGAAGAGGGTGGGGCATTATTAGTGCTACTTGCAAAAGCAAAACACGAACAACCATGCACTTGCAAAATTAGCAAGCACGATTAGAACGGTAGGTATCAGGTGAGGATATCCCTTATTATGACAAGTGTGCACGAGTGATAACATAGGAATACTTCCTCCAAGTTTTTATACCGGGAAATTTTAACCGATTGATTCATCCTAGACCGACGCTTATTGAGCAGTGTCTTTCTGTAACACGCAGAGAAGCCGTGAGCCCGCTGGATCAAAATGTGTACGGTTCATATACAGACACCTCTGTAGGTAAACTAACGGGCGCTGTAGTTTGAAAGCACTCAAGACCTTGAGCCAAAAATAATGAAAGAAGCAAAAGAAAAAGGGACAAGGAAGTAAAACATGATTAACTGCACAGTTCCGGCCAGTAAATACGTGGCTCGCTTGCGCATTCACACTGGGTTCCGAACCGTTGTGATGGCGTTCTTCAATGTGCAACTTTCCGGCGAAAGACGCGGAGCTTCTTTATACTTCTCGCTACACAATTACTGAGCTTAAAGACATGCATTTCACTTGTGGGATTTCTGCTAATTGCCATCATATGTAGGATTTTACTCATGCTCGTCATTCGTAATAACACGGAACATTGCCAAATATTATAACGAAATGGCAATTAGCAAAGACGACTATGCTTCCATCAAGGCCACTGTATCACGAAACAGAAGTGAAATGAATTAAGTTTTTTTTTGTCTCTCACTGCACCCCATTCGCTGCTACGTTATCTTCTTTGACATAGTGTGTTGCGTAATGTACGAGATGGCCATTCATTTTGAAACAATATACTAACGGAAGAGCGCGCCACATCTGGCTTCGTCCTCCCCCAAACCCTGCTTTCCTGAATTTTTTTTGTTCTTGCTGCTGACGTATCTGGGAAATGCCGAGGAAAATAGTCGCGTTGTATTCGGTCATGTCTGACGTCTTTCGAGGGCCGTCCACGAATGTGAGAAAAAGTGTGCGCGTGCGTGCGTCCCTATGTATGCGTGTGCGTGAGAGTGAGAGAGAAATTGATTGATTTTGATTGATATGTGGGGTTTAACGTACCAAAAGTACCATATGATTATGAGAGACGCCGTAGTGGAGGGCTCCGGAAATTTATACCACCTGGGGTTCTGTAACGTGCATCCAAATCTGAGCACACGGGCCTGAGTGATAGAGAAAAGATAGCACTCTGTAGTGGTATACCACGTGGAGCCTCTGGTCTCGCTAGCGCATATTGCTCGCACATATCTGAACGCAGTAAGAGCGACAATGGTCAGCATATCAACTGCTCGCCCCTCCGAACGTCGCGGCGCAGTGGAAGGCGAACTTCCTGGGTTCACCATGAAACCTTCCATCGAGGGCGCTGCGTTCTGTTTATTCCGAGTCACGCGCCGGAAGAACCGAGACGGAACTGCGACGAGGGTGATTCGGAAACGAGCAGTGCGACGTGAGCGCGCAAGGGGTGCCACACGTCTCTCCTATGCTGGCGTCCGTGCTCAAACTTCGCCACGTGGCTCGTATGGCCGAATCAACAGAACAAAACAGCAGCCGGCACGTAGTCAATTTCATTGTCGGCATCCCTCGCGGTGCTTGGGAACACCCCGTCGAACTTTGATGTTGCGGAAGCTTAGGTATATCTCGGAAGTTTGATTAAATTTATTTTTCCTACCTTTTCTCTTTACGTGGAAAGAAAATTGATGTAGGTGAAATACTAGACGACCGTGTACCTAAATTTAGGTGCACGAAAACAAAATAGCCAAAATTCGCAGAACCCTCCAATATCTGTCCCTCACTATACAATATTAGCCAAAAAAAAAAGCTTGATTGAATTATTTAATACCCCTCGACACGGCAGCAAACAACACGACAAAGTCACAGCATTTGTTATGGTTTTTATGCAGATACTCACGTGCCTGCTGGAGGCAAATGAGACAGTGAGTGTAACGATATGACGATAGTTATAGCACGAGAACAGATCGACGACAAAGGGACAAGAAGGAGACGACCTTTTGTCGTCGTTCTGTCCTCGCACTATAACTATCGTCATGTCATACCAACTAGCCCAAACCGCCACACTTCTAAGTGAGTGTGAGTTAGGCAAAGTATACCGTCATGTCCTTTGTTAATTGAATCAGTCAGAATCAGTCAGCGCTGATAGTGTATCGTGTGCGCCTGTGTTCGCGGTTAGAAAAGTTCCCAATGCTTTCCTGCGCCACAAGTCGTATATTCTCGATGAACGACAAGGATAACCCAACACCGATGAGGAGAAACATTTAAAAAAGGAACCCTGAGTAGCCTTTAGGCACTCAGTAATATCAGAGTCATTCAATACGAAGCATTCGATCAGTTTTGAAATATATCGCGCCATGACTGCGCATGTGCGGAGTACAAGACTGCTCTTTCATTTAGGCTTTGCGTCAACCGAGCGTTCAAAAATACGGAACGGTGTGGGTTGTCAAGCGAAATTCGGATTCGGGTCACCTTCGCTGGCGACAACGTGTAGATGTCATCCATTTATGCAGCTAAATTCAAATAAATGCTAGAGGATATATATATATATATATATATATATATATATATATATATATATATATATATATATATATATTATATATATATATATATATATATATATATATATATATATATATATATAAAATCCATGTTAGCGATGAGTGACGTCGCTGACAGAAATATATCCAGAAAAAAGAAAACATTCGGGCAGCTGTCGGTCCCCGACTCTAAATTCAGCCATAGAGGCGGACACTCACGCAGGATTCAAGTGCGGCACCCCAGTCGTTGCAACTCCTAGAATAGACGTCAGTGGTAGCCACGGGTGACGACGCGTGCATTCTGATT